AAGTTATCGTCTTTTGATAAGAGTTATCAATTCTTCTTCACGACTGTTATCCCTGATGGATCATAGGCCGCCGACTATCGAACTATTTTCCTGGTTAGCGTTTTTTCTAGCGAGTTAGATTTCTACAGGATGGGGTCGCTCTAACCCCATGCTCAACCCTACTCCTTTATCCGGGCTTGAGACCTGCAGTAACTCTAGAACGGTCTCCAAGAGGAGTTAGAGTTTCTCAATAGGGTTTTTAATTCCAACAACAATACTTAATTTTTTACAATGGTTCAGCTTCTGTTCATCTTTTCTAATGAATAGTGTTCATGAAACTATTGATTTCGATGATTATAAATGAGATCTTTCAAGCTTATAATCTATTTGAATGTTTATTCTCGAAAAATGGTGTTTCTGTGGGAAGAAAATATTGATCAATTTATGGGTACACTGAAAATCAACTAGTTTTAAAAAGAATGCTAATATTTCTAGTGATGAGTATCTATGAATAGCTGAATTCAGTCTGGTATGAATTAAATTGAATACCACTGTTAGTATTAAATGATATTTAAAGAGTTAATCAGTAACTTGAACTGATCATCGAATTAAACCCAGTCAGTTTTGATCAATAATCATCAGTCAGAAAATAAATAAAGATTTGCAATTCCATTATTCATATTTCATGTATCGATCAGTGACAGACCACCAATGAAAACCTGGAAGTACTGAATGGTTGTTTCATCGTAGTGTGGTGCGAGCTACTTATGAGTAGTATATGACGTGAGCGTCAACGCAATGTCTGGCAGCAGAAGATGGGGGAAGATCAAGAAAGGAAGAGTTAGAAAACAATGGAATTTGTATGAAACGCATGAATAGTGAAATGTCAGACAATGGATTGATGTTTTGCAACAAGAACAGTCCAGTTCGATATGATGGACTGATCTTTTGCAAATGAACGATTTACGATATGGTTTTCCTATTTTACTGAGTAACTCTGTAATTTTTGTTAAAAACAGTCCGGTTGCCCCACCTGTGTTTTCGTTAACTACAGTAGTATGGGACTCTCCATTCCTACACATCCAACGATCGAACCAACAGCATTCGGTCTCACTCACGAACGTTTAACCTCTAGACCTCTGAGCCCTCATCTAACTAGGTTAGTGTTTAACTTTATTCAATCCACACGATATTGCGTGACCATCAAAGATTATCTGACTCATACCCAACACACATTGAACAGCACCAGTCATAGATTTTCACTAGAACTCTATGAGCACATGATAACTGTCATTATAATGTTTTGGAGATTGTTCAGTTTGATTGAAATCATGGACTGATTAATTTTATGTTGATTTGTATAACTAAAACATCATCATTTCATTTTACTGTCATCTTATCATCCTGGTTCAAATTTTACTGACCTGAGTTGTGTCATGATTACCGATCACTATCAACTCCAGGGAAACTATATGTAATTCCTTTTGTAACTATCGACTAATTACAAGTGTATTATTATAAATATTAACTAGTATGATGTAGTCTTTAACTCGAATAAAACATCGATATCAAAATATCCTTATTTCTAACGGTTTAGAATTTATTAACATGTCAGAATTGTCAATATTTCGCAATACACACAACAACAACAAATACAGATGAAGACGACCAGCATAACAGCATCCTTTAAAACAGTAGGTCTCAACATATACACAAGAGAAAAAGCAAGATACTCCGATACAGCACAATATGCACCAACTAAATCATACTTGACAGGGAAACTCTGGAAGATGTAGAAACCTTTCCATACCCGGACAACAATAGTGAGAAGCAAGACGGATATGATGCAGATGCAAAAGCATGGATCGGCGTAGAAAGGGAAGCATTTCTACAAGTGAAGAACGTCTAGCAGTGAAAACCACTGCCAACCAACACCAAAGTCAGAATTTTCAATTCGAACGCTAAAACAATTCTATTGAAGAATCAATAAAGCCATCATCCAAGAGATACAAGTGTTTATTAACAGTTGTCTAAGTAAGTTATTGTGGAGCTTTTGTTAAACACCATCAACAACAACTTATTGTAGGAGAGAATAAACCAAATTCCAGCAGTGGAAGAAATCAGGAAACATCACTAAAGGTGGATAGGACACACATTACGGAAATTTCCAAACTGCATCACTAGAGGAGCCCAAACTTGGGACTGTCCAGGCTGAAAGATTATCTGTTGACCAAGGAACACATTACGCCGAGAATAGGAAGACAACATGAAAAGAATGAAAACTTATTGAACAGAACTGGAAAGGAAGGCTCAGAATAGAGAAAGTTGAAGAATGCTGGTCCGTGGCCTATGTGCTCCATCAGGGGTAACAGGTGTAAGTAATTAGCCAACAAGTCATCATGAAAAATTTACTTTTTAACTAGGAAACCTGCCATATTAACTTAGAAATTAAGCGTTTACGAGCAAAACCAAAGATCCTTGATTTGACTCTCGGATGAAGATTCATGGAGGTATACTGTTAAAAAGTCCTAACTCAGAACGAAACAACTATCCAGTAGTATTTCATAATTTTCAATGGTTGTCCAGAATTATTTTTCAATTAAATTTATGAAGATCATTGTTTTTACACTCTGAAATCATGAATCGACCAATGTTAGACCATAATTAGAAACCTGGAAGTACTAGACGTCCGTTTCGTCCACGTATGGGACTCATCAGCAGTGCACACCCACGACTCCTGCTAATCGCAGACTTCGTACCTTCCGTCTTGCTCGCCAACACTCAACCTTTGGACCTCTGGGCCAGCGTCCAACCATGTGTTAATGTCTAACTCTGATCAATCTAGGGATTTTCCGCGACCTCACCCATTTATCTTGGGTAATTGCTGCCTACACCCTAGATTGATCAGTGTTACACAGTTACAAAGATTAGTTCATAATTTAACCCAAGACAATTATACAATCATCACAATTCTCTCTACTAATAAAAAATCAATAATAGGTATCCAGTGAATGTGTCAACGAAAAAAATAAAGTGATTGAACTAGAAAAGAGTTATAAATCATTCGTTATTTATTTGTGTGTGCCATCTCTCATCCTAATTAGATGGTACACAAACAGAAGTGCGTGCACGAGCGCAGACACAATTGTATGCGAGCGCGTACACACACGTACACAGTGTATGATCATAAACAAAACCATGACTAAATTAATGAGTGATAAAATATCAAATTTTACAAAATGTAATAAAATCGGAAATCACAATTCAATTAAAATTACACATAAAAATTTAACTGACCATTTGATGATTTCTAATTTACGTGTATGTGATATAAATTAGATAATTGAAAAAGTCAGAAAGAAAAATTTACATAGTAGATAGAGTGTTAGGATATTCATCCAATATCCTAAGAGAATTATTGATCAATTCCTATTGGTTAATTCCTACTGGTCAATTTTATGTCACATGCTCCAATGTTGTTTCTTATTGGTTGCCCTGATTATCAATGTCACTCCAAATATTGCTCAATATTGGTTGTCTTAACTGTCAATGTCACAGACTTCGATGCTGTTTCCTATTGGACCAAAATATATAAATACGCATTATGTGTAACGTTTTATGACCGGGACCAGGACCTGGTCCCGGATCTCTAGTTCGGGATCCTGATTCTCTCCTGGACTCGCACCTCGTACTTTCTGGATGCTTGTAAAATACAGGTTCTATTTCTTATCAAGTCTTCTTATTTTTACTCAATATGGGGTTTGGGATAATCGGATTTGAATAGCATGTCGTGTCGCCGGATCCTCGATCCTCGCTTTCGTTTTCCGACTAAGGTAAACT